TTTTTTTTTTGGGATTTAGTTTTTACTATGTGATCCGTTGGGTATACATGAATTAATTTATTTAATTTCATTTAGAGAACTAGTGGTGACACTAGACTTTACAATCCAAAATATTTTATTAGTGAAAAATATGTAATAGATGAATTAATAATTATTTAATATAAAGTGTGTTAAATTTTGATTAATGTTTTATCTCACATCATATATGTATCAAAGATGTGTAAGATCTTTTTAATATAAATACATATTTTACCTTTGATTGCACTTTATTCTCTTCTCTCATATGTTAAGAAGGAAATTCTTAGGTAATGAAATATCTTTTTAATATAAATATATCTTTTACCTTTGATTGCACTTTATTATCTTCTCTCATATGTTAGAAGGAAATTCTTAGTTAAAGAAATATTTGTGGGTTATTTACCTCTGGTTATATTTTATTGGTGAGTTTGTCATGGTTCATGGCTCAATTTTCATGGTCCATGACCCAATTTTCATACTCTTAATGTCGAGGTCATCGCTAAACTAGATAATTCGCTTGTACTATTTGTATTTGAATTGGTTGTTAGAGAGGTATATTGGGGGTTTTTTAACTCATGTTGAATATTTGAGGAATTTGGGTGGTTGTCGTTCGATTTTGAGGCTCGTTGGGAGGTTTTGCATTCTATTGGTTATTTTGGAAGTCTTGGCGAACGTTGGCCATTTTCTTTGAAATTCATTAATCACTGAAGTTCGAGAGCTCTTGAGGGTTTGTATCGATTCATGAAGGGTTGTGTCTTATGGAATACATTGGGAAACTCGGAAGAGCGTTGGCGACTAGTTTTGTAATTCTTTACATATTGTGGCGTTCGACGCCCTTTTGGGCGTGATGCATCGAGGATATTCTACATTGCCTTGAGGCATTGGTTGGAAGGAAGCTCAGAAATTCTTGGTTTTATATTGTTTTATCATTTGGGATCTTCCTGTGTCGATGAGAGGAATCCGTTTTTGTAATTCTCATATTCTTTAGAGACTAGAGCCGAACGGTGTATTGTTCCTTATTCAGCTGGGAGGATCTTCCCATTGATATATCAACAATATTCCACATAAGTCATTCTATCCTTACAAAATTAACTCCCTTGTATTGTAAAAGCACAATTAATTTTCACTAATGAAGCCAAAAGAAACAACAACCTAGAAATTTGCTTCACATCAACAAATCAAGCTTGAAAATCATGAAATTATATATAATTTTCACACCCACAATCAAAGAACAGAATCACAATTGAAAAAGAACATTGTTCAAACTTGAGCATGCTTCACAAACAACAAATAGAGGACAAGAAAACAATGGCATCTCTTAAAACTAAAATTAAAATAAAATAAAATAGTAGATAACTCAAATTATCTTTAAAAGCAAATACTTGTTGCAATTTGAACTCCACAAGCCTCTTGGCCTTAATTTCCTTCACCACTAAGCACTTCTCCACTCTTCTGCACATCACATCAACAAAAAAAAATTCTAAGTCATAAAATGAATAAAGAAAAAAAACTAAGGAGATGAATAATATTTGTAATAGAATTAGTTGATGGTATGAATTTGCAACATTCACCTTTTTCTCAGTCTTGTCTTCATCTTTATTCCCATCAACCTCCTCGTCATCTTCTTCGTCAAGTTCATCATCGTAATCTATCTCAACAAACTCGTCCTGAGGAGCCTCTCCTGTGAACCACGACACCGCATGAGGAATAATTTTGTCTTTTATGATTAACCTGTGTACAAGAATTCATAAAAATTAATTAATGATAAAAGTGCGTAGCAACTCGTACTACTAATTCTCTATCGTTTCGAAAAATAAAAAATAAAAACTCATACTACTAAGCTCAATAAGTACTTACTCTCAAAACTTTGAAAAAATAAAATAAAATTGTCATAGTATGTTCACTAACTGAATATCATGTCTACTTATTTATGAAATTACTTGGTACTCATAATTGGGGGAAATGCTACGTCGTATCATCCGGTGTTTTAACTGTTGGATCCATGATGAATCCAACGGTTAAAACACCCGACGGGATGATACCGTAATGGGACGTAGCATTTCCCCATAATTGGTTGTAAATTTAATATAACAAATTGATGATCCCATCAAAACATTTATAACAAGTTCACTCACCCAATGTCATAATCTTCCTCCAAGAGATCTTGAACTAGTTCTTCATCCTATCAAAATAGCAACAATCAAAAAACATATATACTAATTAGACACCCAAAAAAAAAAAAAATTAAAAAAAAAAATCTTGAACAAAAATACCAAATCCATACATCATCTTCATCATCAGTATCTTCGTCTTCCTCCTCAGCAACTACCGGCGGACTGAAAAAATTGAAGAAACTTTCGTACCCTTCGGTTTTAGTACTCGGCTCCGTGTCTTCGGATCCTTTCTTTGTTTTCTTTTCCGAAATCTTCTTAGTCAAACATTTTCCGGGATACCATTCGATCTCCGTACTACCAAAAAAAAAAAATGACAGATCATATATTTGATTATATAATGTACATAATTTGTGACAAAGGCCATTCAAGATTATAAAAAACTAAACAAATTAATATACCCAATTGCTTTCTCCAAAACAGGTTCATCTTCTTCATCAATCATGTCATAAGTCTTTGTCAAAACAGAGTTCTTGAAATATGGATTAGTGGTGTCAAAATGAAACTCAAGCTTGAAGCCATTAAGATTGTCAACTTTAGACCACTTGATGTCTTTCAAGAATTTGAGGGCTGCCTCATCGTGCTCGGTTATCTTGTCACAAAGAAGAAACGATTAATCGATACGACAAAAAAACATGAAATTAACGATAAATAGACAATGTAGCTAAACAAATCATCTCCAAACTAACCTCTCCAGCAAGTATTACATTGTTTTTAAGAACAGTCAGCCAGAATTCAGGGACTCCCTTGTCTGCATAATGATGTTATAACATCATTATATATGGAAGTTATCGGTAGATATGATAATGCATATATCGAAAAATATATACCTTCAGATTCTGCTTCAATTGTATTTCCTTCAACCTCATTAACACCATTCACAATTTCATATCTCTACACAATATTTATTATTAGAATGAAAAAAAAAAAAAAAAAATAAAATAAAAAAAATTGGAGTTATATACGTAAGCCGACGTATAAATAGTCGAATTAGTCGAAATGTATGAATATAATTATATGCATACCTTAGTGTAGAGAGGTTCGTACAACTTTTGGTACTTAGCTTCAAGTGCTGCTCTCTCCTCAAAAAACTTCTTCTCAAGTTCATCATGTTCAGACTGTATATTAATAAGTTTGAATTAGTTACTCAATTATTGTGTCATAAATAAAATTAAACATTAAAAAAAATTATTTATAAATTCAATATGGTTCTTTATATATGGATCATTGAAAAAACAAAGATTAAAATGATTTATTTTCTCTATATATAAGTGCAGAGTTTTTCTAATTTAACTGTTAATATCTGGTTTCATGTACATATGTGTCAATATTTTGGGCTTTGTATTAATCCTATGAACTCGTTTCATTTATAATTAATTTTATATAAGTAATAAATCATATTAATATTTTTATTATGATTTTTTTATTTGACATTCATATTGCATATATTAATTTAAAATGTAATTATATCTACCTTTATAAATTTACATTAATTATTTACCAATTCCAGTTAGAAAGTAATAAATTTATTTAATCAAATTAAATAAGTTTTCTCTATCAAGAGTGATATATATGATATGAGTTTCAACAATCATCATATTAAGGACAAGTGAAATATTATAGGTGAATGAATGATACAATTTTAATAAAAAGATAAAATTCAATCTTTTAAGAAGTATAAAAAATTAAATAAATGTTTTTATTTATTTTAAATTTATAATAAATTTCTCATACTTGAAAACAAAATAAAAAGAGGCATGCCTGTATTTCTTGTAACGTCTCAACACGCTTCCTAACACTTGGACATAAATTCTCAAGCACCTTTGTACGCTCACTAGCAAGATCATCAAGTTTATCCTGTTCAAATAAATAAAATAAAATAAAATCTAGTAATTAAATAAACGTAAAATGAACGATAATTTCGGATTGATTTAGGAAAAGAAAAAACTACGTAAAACGAACCTTCGAAGCATCGATGATGTTAGTCGAGCTGTTCTTGTCGTCGTTGCTGCCCATTTTTGCAAACCAAAACGTTAATAGAGAAGCTAAAATTGCAGATAGAGTAAATGGTATAGAGGTGTTTGTGTGAGGAGATGAAGGAAAAAGTTGGATGATATATATAGTGAAAAATTCCAAAATCTTACATAATCGAATTGTGTAATAATCAAGGGCCCTTGTTTGGATTTCGAGTCATGTGATAGGATTATTGTTTTCTTTACAAAATCATTCATTCAAATATTCTATATATAACAGAGTGCCGTGTTTGGATTTCGTCTCATGTGATAGGATTCTTGTTGATTGTGGTTGATTTTACAAATTATTTATCCAATGTGGCTAAATTGGAAATAGTAGTGTTTTCATTTATATTTTTATGTTTGTGGTTCTATATTTGGTTGTCAATTATATTGTGATTATTTATTGAATTTTATTTGGGAAATTGTGTATCTTATTTGAATTGAAATGATTTCAACTACATTTTGTGCAACTTTGATAGGCATAATAAATTTGATGTATAGCATGTTTGTAATTATAATTTATAATCTTGGATGTGTAATCATATGTTTTCAATATATGTAATTTCATGATAAATTTGCGCATTGAGATGTTTATTCTGTACAATTCCATGATAAATTTGATGTATTATGTTTAGTTATGCATTAAGTTTCGTGATATACAGACGAAGATAATTGTTAAACTGAAACAGTTATGCGATCAACTGTGCGACAAACAGGCGAACATAATTGATAAAGTAACAATTATGTGATAAACTATGCGATACACCAAAAATAATTGATAAAGTATGAAATATCTATGCGATAAACTATGCAATAGACAGATCGAAGATGATTGATAAAGTGCGAAATAGTTATGCGACAATAAGCAAACATAATTTATAAAGTGCGAAACAATTATGCGACAGACAGACGAAGATAATTGATGCGAAAAGTTATGCAACAAAATGAAGATAATTGATAAAGTGTGAAACAGTTATGCGATAAACTATGCAACAAACAGACGGAAATAATTGATAAAATGCGAAATAATTTGGGATAAACTATGTGACAGACAAACAACGATAATTGATGCGAAAATCTATGTGACAGACAAGTGAAGTAATTGATAAAGTGCGAAAACATTATGCGAAAAGCTATGCGACATGTAGGCGAGAATAATTGATAGTGTAAAATGATAGCGAAGATAATTAGTAGTGAAGATTCGCAGAACTGTTATAACATAGTGCCGCGTTTGGATTTCGTCTCATGTGATATGATTCTTGTTGATTGTGGTTGACTTTACAAATTATCGATCCAATGTGGTGAAATTGGAAATAGTAGTGTTTCATTTATAACTTTTATGCCTGTGGTTCCATATTTGATTGTCAATTATATTATGACAATTATTGCATTTTATTTGGCAAAATTGTATACCTTATTTGAATTGAAATGATTTCAACTAGATTTTTTATAATTTTGATAGTCATAATAAATTTGATGTAGTATGTTTGTAATTATAATTTATAATTTTGGATGTGTAATTATATGTTTTCACTATATGTAATTTCATGATAAATTTGCGCATTACGATGTTTAGTTTGTACAATTCCATGATAAATTCTCATTATATATAGAGAGAGACAAGAAATAGCTAAACAGAATAAGTTTTACACACCGCCAAATAAAAGGTTAACTTTTTCACCCCATAAAGTACGAAAATAATTATATGCTAGATAATTGATGAAATGGAAAGCAGATATGCAATAAGCTATGTGACATACAGACGAAGATAATTGATAAACTGCGAAATAGTTATGCGATCAACTATGTGACAAACATACAAACATGATTTATAAAGTGCAAAACAATTATGTGATAAAATATGTGACAGACATGCAAAGATAATTAGTGCGAAAACCTATGCAACAAATAGAGGATAATAATTGATAAAGTGTGAAATATTTATGCACTAAACTATGCGACAAACAGGTGAACATAATTGATATAGTGCGAAATAATTGTGCGATGAACTATGTGTTGACGAGCGTTTTCGGTCAACGGTTAGAAATAACGAATGTCGGAAATAAGATTGAAAGTGGGAGAATGGTTCAGTTTAATCACGATTTTATTAAACGATCACGAGGTCGGCCTCTCGTACGAGGTCGGCACTTGCGATATACTTACAGTTCTTACAACAAGTTTCTTACAATTTCTAGAGAGAGAAAGTAGAGGGGAAGCAGAGTTAGTTGGGATTCAACAACCCAAAATAAATGAAATGAGCAGCTATTTATAGTAGTCTTTAATATGATACTATTCAGCTACTGTTCACCGGTCTTGTCGCACAGTAATCTTGCAGGGCAGTTCGGCGTCTCCCTGACGCCTATTTAATGCGATTTGAGGTTTCTGTAAGCATTAACTGTCAGGCATTTAATGCAAGCATGGGGGCATTTAATGCTGGCAGGCTCTCTTGTCTAGGCTTGCCTATAGGGCGACAGGCTACGAACGTCCGTCCCATCGCTCAATGATGACCTCCCAAGTGGGAATATTTTAATGTTCACCGAGCCCCGTCTTAACCTCGGAGTGGCCGCTCTGCATCTTCAGGTCGGCACTTTTCTCGAATATGCTTACAAAACATTCCTGATCCATTCGCCAGTCCGGCACCCATCCACCCCAGCTCCTTCATTCACGAGCTGGGGTGCCGACGTCAAAAGGCGCTCCCGTCGAGATCCTGAACACTTTACTTCCCGGTTCAGCTCGGCGCTTCCTCCTTAGACCGGGTCTTAGGCTCGGGTCTCGATAGCAACGTCTCCCCGGTTCGTTCCTGGCTAACTCGGATATCAACATACAGGCCCCCGAGCTCGGATGGGAGGTCTATCATCTCGTCTGAGGTCGCTATGATGATGGCTCAGCCCCGAGTTTGCCAAATTTCACCTCGGCTTTCCCATTTCCCTTTGGATTTCGTCAAGTAAACTGGTATATTAATGGCGCAAGCTGAAGCGACGCCTCCATTAATGCGACGTGACCGTTGTAATTCCTGTCGGCCCTAAAAAGGCGCGCCGTTTCAGAACCTTTACGCGTGACAAGAGTTGATTGGTCCACGGGGGATGTCGCGTCGTCTCGGTGGGTTGGGCGGTTACGAAGCGCGTGGGATTCACGCGGTTCACATAAACCGTCGGATTACTTCGATCTCCACCGTCCGATCCGAACAGCCTTTCTCATTAAATTTTCGAATTTCAAACGGTGCCACGTGGCCTTCATCGATTGGACCGAAGTTCATATATATATACCATCGTCTTCCTCGAGAAGCTTTACCTTTTCTGCGATTTTGGGCGAATTTCAGAGCAAAACAGCAAGAGGACTTCCGAATCTTCGCGGAGCTTTCTGCAACTCGGCACCCAAGGCTTTTTCTCGGTAATTCTCGTTCTTTCTTCCCTTCCTTTTTCCTTTTCTCGATATGTCGGGCTTTTCGAACTCCGCGGCGTTTTCCGGCGAGGGTGAGAGGCTAACGGCGGAGGAGACCGGTGAGATCGTGGTTTACTATCCGCCGGCGGTGGATGCGGCACAACCTCTCCGGGCGACGCCGATTACGGCCGTTCGCGTGACTCGGCCGTCGGCGGCGGCGGCTGACCCGTTAGGGGAGATGCCCTCGCAGATCCCGGTGGTCGATATGGTTGACCTCGGCTCCAGCCAGTCCGACGGTGGAGATAAGGCTGTCCCGGACGGCGGGGCTTCTGACAGCGACTCGGACGTCGACCCCGGCCTGGTCGAGGAGACCCTCCAGGGTGATATCGGCGGGCGTGAACGGGTCCCAATAGGATTGGGCGACGCCGAGACCGACGCCGCCGTTGAGGCTGCAACTTTGGCCCCTCCTGGGAGTTGGCGTCGTCCCCCTCGCTCGTGGCCAACTGCCACGAAGATGTCGGCCTGGAACACGCCGTCTATTTTGGGAGACGTTGACCTGGTCAAGCTGAGGGGCAAAGTGAGTTTCGGCCCCGACATCCAGATCTTCGCCCCGTACGCCGGCGAGCGCATTCACTGTCCTCCACCAGGTTGCATCGGGGTTTACCGCCACAGTGTTCGACTCGGACTTCGGTTTCCCCTGCCCGGCTCTCTGAGCGACATTCTGAGCGACATCGGCATCGGGATTAGCCAACTCGTTCCGACGGCTTTTGCGCGGTTGGTGGGTCTGATCGTCCTGTTCCGCAAACAGGGGTGGGCCGATCCCACGAGTGCGGACATTCGGGCTCTCTTGAATTTCAAGAAGTCCGGCAACACCGGCAATTACTACAGTTCCGTTGCTCCCGGGGTGGATCGGTCCTTGGTGAACAAAATCCCGGAGTCGCTGCACGGCTATATGCCGGAGTGGTTCTGGGTCTCCGGCGCGTGGCAGGCGCCGGGTGCCGCCCTGCATCCGTACACCGGCTTTATATCCGGCAAGTGTAAGTATCATGCTGTTCTTTTCCTTTCTCTAATTACGTGCGTTTTTCCCGTGCTAACAGGTCGGTATTTCCATTTCAGTCCACAATCCTCACTTCGACGCCAGTGACGACCTAGCGGAGAAGATCGGCACTTTGCTGGCACTTGACGAGGAAGAGCGCTTTTATCGCGACCTAGTTTCGGAGGAGAGTCTGATCACCTACGGCCTTTGCTCCGACTTCAAGACCGGCTATTCCGTCCCAGGTTACTTTTACTTCACACCGGGTTATTTTATATATATATCTATTTATTGAGTTCGGCGCCTGATTCTGTGATGTTGGGCAGTTTACTACCCCCTTCACCGAGAGTGCGGACTTCGATCCGTGAAAGAGGCCAACAAACCCGTTCACGCCAACCCGCAACCCCTTAAAGAGAGGAAGAAGATGGCCAGCCGGATGTCCTTCCTGACGAAGTCCAAGAAGGGACAGGGTTCCACTTCAGCCGCGGATTCCCGCGCGGCTCCGCCCGTTCCCCGGTCTGTGACCTCGGCTCCTTCCCAGCCCGTTATATCTGGCGGGCGTAATGGTGGTCGCGCTGGACCGATTG